ATTCATCCTATTGGTGAGGCTTTCTCCTTTTGTTTCTAATTGGCTTACTGAGTTTTTCACTTCCTTCTTCATTTGAGCCTGAGTATTCTTCAATATTTCTAACTCTTCTGAATTCATTCAGAAGTTTATCCCTCTCTTCCTTCAGTTCTTTGATTTCTTTGTGTGTTCTTTAAATTCACTGAATTCTTTTATCATGTTTATAATTGTTCTTTTGCGTTCCATGTCCTGCATTATCTCTAGGGGGTTCTCATTGTACTCCTCTAGAGGACTATTGGTATTTGGTGGGGGTATGTTATTTTGGTTTTTCATGTTATTTTTTTCTCTATGATTTTGATATGTGGATTTCTTTTGTAGTTTCTGATTCTTGTCTGCTTCTTTTTGTGAACTTTGTGTGTCTTTGTGGTTTACTTTTGGGGCATGAAAGGCTAGTTCCTGTAAGCTTCCAGTTCTCTCTTTTGATTTTATATTGGAGTGGCCAGATTGCTTTTGTCTTCAGGAGTTCCCACAGAGGCCCAAGTCAGATTAGGATCAGATGCTCTTAGCCTTTCTCCTAAGGTCTGGATCCCTCCAGGAAAGATTTTGGCCTCAGGAATTTGGGGGTTGGGCTGGCCTGGTAGCTGGGCCCAGGAAAGATGCTGGTCTAGGGCAGCTGGTGGCCCTGCCACCCAGAGATGCAAAGGAAGATGGGGGCGAGAGGTGGCCCCAAGGGCCCCTGGGGACTGCACTGAGGAGCTGGATCGGTCTGGATGCAAAGGGCCAGGAGGAGGAAAGGTCAGCCCCGGCATCCAGGAAAGAGGCTGGAAGGTCGTGCAGGCCCAGGGAAGTAGAGGGATGTGAAGGCCCGGCCAGGCCCAGGGGGCTCCTGGGGACCTGAGAAGGCACTGAGTTGGTCTGGATGCACAGGATCAGGAAGAAGCAGTGGTGGTTCCCCACCCAGGTGTCTGGGGCACCAAGACAAAGAATGGGACAAGACCCAGGCTAGGAGGAGAGATCGGTGGGGGAGATGGGAGGGTGAATGAGGCTGGGGGAGTCAAGGTGCTGAGGGCCCATTTGACTTACCCAGGAGAGAGAAGCCTACGGGTTGGAGAGAGGCCTGCGGGTCCTGCAGGCCCAGGGAAGCAGAGCGAAAAATATTTTTTTAAGGTCTGAATCTAGGACAGTGTTCCTCTGTAATGCCCAGGGCAGCACAGACACTTCCCAGAGGCAGGAGAGCCCAGGTTTTGTGAAATTGGAGCTGATAGGATTGGGGTGCTCTTTGAGAATACCAAGTTGCTGGGCATGTTAGCACATGTCTTTAATCCTCGCACTCAGGAGGTGGAGGCAGGCAGATCACTGTGAGATCAATGCCAGCCCGGTCTATATAGGCAAGTTTTAGGCCAGCTGGAGCTACAGGGAGGCCCTGTCTCAAGACAAACAAAAATGCCCAGTTGTCATAAGGTATGGTAGGCAGGGCCTTGGAGAGGCCCAAGCACACGCCTTCGTAGCTCAATCTAGTGCAGGAGAGCCAGGACTACACAGGTGCACTCAGGGAGAAAAGCGCCTGTCCCCATGCCAGTGGTTTGAGGATGAATGTGCTCATGAGCTCCAGCTCTGGGTCCTTAGAGACCGAGGCCCACCCTGTTGTAGTAAGCAGGGTTGGGTGGATATGGCTGCAGAATCCCATTGGGGCCTGAGACCCGGGCAAGGAGAGCTGTAAAAACCGCAAGATGTACCGGACAGGAGCGCAGCCTCTTGGCATCCTTGTGCAAGTAGGTGGCAAGAGAGGCACGTTGGCAAAGAAAGACACGAGGAAGAGGGACTTGAGATGGGCGGCCGTTGTTATAGGAAAGAATCCCAAACCAATCGGAACTGCAGAACATCAGGGTCCTCACAGTGAGAGAGGCGTCCAGGTATGACCCCTGCTGGGAAGTGGTGGTACTGCACCTCATTTGTGCAGCCTGCAGGGAGGGATGGGGCGACCCCAAACCGACTGCTTTCAGAGTGACTCTGCTTAACTTCTCCAACTCACGAAGAGCTTGGGAGGCCGGAGGCATTTTATAAAAGCACCAAATCTACCAAAAGAAATGTCTCCTAGAAATTCGCAGTCCAGCATTGTTTATTATCTGTTACCACTGCCGTGTGTCTGTAGGTTTTGTTAGCACAGATGATAAATCACACAGGGGTGTATGACAACAGCGTGAATTTGGACATACCCTGGGAAGTAGCTTGCTATGCTTCCTGCACAGGCCCTAGTGACCAGCTCCCTGGGGAGGTCAGCAGTGTTAAGCCAAAGAAGTTGCCGCTCCCAGGCCACTGGTGACCCTCAATCTCCCAGGATTCCAGGCACCCCATTAGAGGACCCATGTAGTGCTGAGAAATGCTCCTACCTGATCATGATTCCCTGGAAGTTTGTACACTTCAGGGGGAAGTCCACGCCAGTCAGATAGCCAGGACAGAGGGTTACCAGAGGGCAGAGTTTAGACCAAGGAAAAGTGAATTTATGCTGGAGGGACTCTGAGGATGAAGCACAGAATCCAGGGGACTTTATTCGGGCCGCTGAACCCACAACCCTAGTCCCACGTTTTCACTCGTATGCCTCCCTTCTGCATGTGTTGTTACCCCTCTAGGCGCCTTTTCCCTGTCTGTGAAGGACGTCACCACCCAAGGGGAGATGGTCAAGCACTATAAGATCCGCTCTCTGGACAAAGGCGGCTATTACATCTCGCCCCGGATCACCTTCCCTTCTCTCCAGGCCCTGGTGCAGCACTATTCCAGTAAGAGAGGTGTCTGGGGGGCACTCTGTTGTGTGATCCCAAACTGTATGAATCACCTAGGGATGGGTGATCCCCAAGCTAGACATAAGGGATTGCCAACTCTGTGTAATAATTCAAGGTCAATGGCTCAGTGCCTGCCGCTGTTTCAGCTTGGGGCCACTTGGAGAGTAACCAGGACCTTCAGTCTCAGAGAGAACAGATTGGGGGAGCGTATCCTGCTGTGTGTGCACATGGGCATGCATACAGTGGGGAAGAGGGGTGGACACAGTTGGGGATGGTATGACTCCCAAAGAGAAGTCTGCTCTGGTACCCTTCACCCCTCTTTTCTTCCATGATACAGAGAAAGGGGATGGTTTATGCCAGAGGCTGACCCTGCCCTGTGTGAGCTCAGCCCCACAGAACCCCTGGGCCCAAGATGAATGGGAAATCCCTCGTCAGTCTCTCAAGCTGGTCCGGAAACTCGGGTCTGGGCAGTTTGGCGAAGTCTGGATGGGTGAGTTGTGCTATCTCAGGGTTTCCTCTCCCTGCCCTGTGTCCTGTGCCTGAAGTGGTCATGGAAGGCAGACAGCTTGGTGTGGGCGGCATATCTGCTTCTCTGGGAAGCTTGTCAGGGAGAGAAGCAGAGCTATGAACCCCTTTACAGATGAGCTAATAAGGCCCAGAATGCAAACGGACTTGCTGTGGTTGTTATAACCTCCTCACAGTGGAAGGAAATAGAATCCAGCTCTCCCAAACCTTAAGTCGGCCTGTCTTTCAGTCTCAGCTAGATGCTTCATGGTTTACATGCACTTGACCTTTATCCTGGCCCCTCTTAGCCCCAGTCTGCCAGATGGCAGCTGTGCATTAAACATGAGGAGCTAGGAGCTAGGAGCTCCAGGGTCTGATGCAGACAGAAACGACAGACAGCTTGCTGGTGTGTGACTGTGGACAAGCCGCTTAACCACCAGCCTCCGTGCCCACCCCTTTCCATAGCAGCTGATGCCTGGTCCTGCTTATCTGGCATTATCTGAATATAATGTCAGTCCCTTCTGTTTCCCTCTGCTTTGGTCTATGTCTCTGGGGAACAACCTGGAATCTCAGAGCCAGAGCTTAAGGCACCTCTGGCAGGAGCTGCAGCCTGGTCCTTGCCAAGGCATAGGGCCCCAGGGAAGGGAAAATCCTAACCATTGCCCAATACCCTTCAGTGTGTGTCATCTGCTGACCCCAGTTAGTGACTCCCTCCATAGCCTGAGGCTCTGCCACAGGGTGTGCCGAGACAGGCTTGTATCTTACACAAGATAGGTACTCTATCACCACCACCCCCAGGGGTATCTTCCACCTCTAGCCCTGGGCCCCAGCAGAGAGGGGCTGGCACCTGGAAGCTCACATCCACTGTGGTGAAGGGATCACTTTGGTGTCTGAACAGTTCCCCCACTCTCCTCCCTGTTAGGTTATTACAAAAACAACATGAAAGTGGCCATCAAGACCCTGAAGGAGGGAGCCATGTCTCGGGAAGCTTTCCTGGGCGAGGCTAACATGATGAAAACCCTGCAGCATGAGAGGCTGGTTCGTCTCTACGCTGTGGTCACCAGAGAGCCTATCTACATTGTCACCGAGTACATGGCCAGAGGTGGGGTCCTCCCTCGCTCCACAAGAACAAGGCTTAGAGGGTGGGGAGAAGGAGGTGGAGCACGGTGGTGGGTTTGCCTGCTGGGGGTTCATTCCCATAGGGGATCTATTAGCCTTGTCTTGGGAGAGGGGAGGCTGAGAAATGAGAGCATTCTTACAGGGCTGCGTCCTCAGCTCAGGAGTGTGCAGTTAACCCCTCCGGAGTACGTGTTTTCTTCCGGAGTTCATTTTCCACTACCAGAGCATGTCTCGTGCTTCTGGAAGTGCATGTTTACCTCTGCGCACACACTGTATGCTTTGATCCCCACTTTGAGTGGAAAGAGCTGAAGGCTGAGCATCCAAAGATGGTTTTAAGTCCAGCTCTGCCTCTTCCTAGCTATGGGAACTTTTGCAACCAGGTGAACATTTCACAGTGTGAGTGACAGGGAGGATGGAGCTGGGTAGCCTCTGAGCTCCATAGAGGATCCCCAAGGAACAGACCTTGGTCATCCTTTGACTTCAGAGGACCTAACCCCTTCTATATCCTGCTATCACATTGCTTCCTGAAGGTCCTCAGCGTGACCATACTAACTATAAAAAATTACCACCCAGGGCCAGTATCACAGCTGCTCCCAGCTGCATCTTGGGTGAGCACCTGCCCAGCACTTGGACTTTGTGGAGGAACTACATTTTTTTCTGGTGTTTTCTTGCTAATGCTTGGTCCTTGTGGGGCGGAGTGCCTGCCAAGGATGGTGGGAACGAGGAAGATGCATGGGAACATCATGACCCTTAGGGTCAGGGCTGGGCTCCCACTCCAGCCCTCCTGGCCCAGGACACCTCAGACAGATCCCTGAACTTGCCTGAAAACTTATTTGGGGGAGTCTAGGGAACTGGTGTTCCTGGGAAGAGTTAAGCATTCTGCTGCTGTGGGCAAACCCTTCGTGGTACCCCAGGTGATCTGTCTCCTCACAGCCAGGGTGTGGCCACTTGGCAGAGGTATTGTTGCCATTCCTCTTTACCTAGGATGCTTGCTGGATTTTTTGAAGACGGATGAAGGTAGCAGATTGTCCCTTCCAAGACTGATTGACATGTCAGCTCAGGTTGGTGAACTACCAGGCAAAGGAGGTCCTGAGGGATGACGTCATTGTGTTGGTCAGATTTGGGCTGTGAGGGACAAAATGTGTGAACACCTGGAAGTTGGTAGATGAGAGACTCTGCCCATGGATTTCGTCTTCCTCCACAGGGAGCCTTAGCATGGTGTGGCATCTCACTGTGCAAGGTGGTGGTCAAGCTCTGCTACCTCACCCCTGACTCATCTCAGCTCACAGGAGGCAGGGATGAAATCCCTCCTCTT